CAAGGGTTCTAAGAGGTTCCTAGAGTCTACATCCTTCCTTAGGATATTACCAACGTCCCGATTAACTCGGTAATTAGTAATATTCTCAGGAAAAACTCGTTCGAGCGTAGTATCGCGTGACAACTACTTCCGGATTACTCCGTTATAGCTTACGCACTACACCTAAAAGGCAAGTTAGGTTAAAGGTTCTAAGTTCCTCAGCTTCAGCAGGCTCCCAGGTCGAAAGCAGTACGCCTTCCAGATTACTCGGTAAACGACACTACAGTCAAAAGGGCCTCCACTTAGTGGGGGATCTCATGTCTCTTTTTTTTAGATTACTCCCTCAAAGTTAACATGACTATACCGCCCGTCATATCTTAAGTTTTCCCAAAGTCCGGGTAGAAGACTTATAAGAAATCACCAAGCCCTTGAAAACTAGGAAAATCCAGACAAACATATATACAACATAATGGAAAGTAATAAACAGCAAGTAAAATAATATATAAACACTCATAGAAAAGAAACAAATAAAGCTAGGATTGACCCACTTAGGAATGGACCAGCAATAGGTCAATTTGTCCCTAGTGAAGTCGCCAACTTTTTCTGTCGCACGCGCAAATCGCCGTCGTCGTCAAAGACGAGCAGAGATGAACTAAATTGTGACGGTGATGATATGAAAAGAATGTAGCGGTAAATATTTGAGATTTAAGTCATAAAATGACTTATCTCAACACAATGAAGTCGCCACCGCACTTTATTATTTCCAAAGGGAAATGGGAAAAAATCGAACAAAACCCACAATGAAATAAAATATCAGAGATCGAGGTACGGAGGTCGGTTATGCAAAGGGAAGGTATTAGCACCCTAAGCATCTACGGTACTCCGCAGGATCCACTTTGTTTGGTTTCTTTTAAAAGTAGTGTAATGTAAAGGTTTACTTGATAAAGAAAGAGAATGAATGTTTATTTGTAAACAAAATAAAATGAAATGTTTTTTATTATTTTTGTTGCTCGCCTTGAGTCATAAGACTTAGTGCCTACGTACTCCCTCGTGCAATGGGAAAGTCAGAGCACCGTAGTTCGGATAGAAAAGACTTGTCTGTTGATTGTTTTTAAATGAGGAGACAAGTCGTCATTGTTAGAAGAGAAATCTCGACTAACACCCACAAGGTGTGGGAAAGATGGACCATGTGTCAGCAAGAGTGAGGGTTTGAGAACGCCTCTGGTACTCAAGTGGAAAAGTCGACACCTTTATAACCATGGGGATAGGAGAAAGTTGCTCGACTATCAATGAATCATGTCTCATCTTGAAAGAAGTTTTAAAGGGTAAAGGTGCTCGAGCGCACAAAAGAGTTTGAATGAGTTAAAGTGTTTTTGTTAATTTTGAAAGATGTCAAAGTATGATTAAGTGAATTTAAGTTTGTTTAAAGAAAAGAAGTTTTAAAAGAAAAGGCACTCGACAAAGTCAAGGTTTATTATGAAAGCGGTTTGAGTTTATAAACAAAGAAGATTTTGAAAAAAGATGAGAAGATTTTGAAAATTAAAGAAGATGGGAGGAGATGAAGGAACTATCCTAAAGCGTAAGGTAAAAGCTAAGGAAGAGAACCGTCTAACCAACAAGAAGCCAACACTTGACATTATGAGTCAAGATAGAATTCTTATTATTTATATTGAAACCAAGTAAGGATACTAAACCTCTTGAGAAAACCAAGCTTTAATTGCATTAAGTATTCACAAAAATTGGGCAGAGTAACGGCTGTATACAGATGATTTCCATATTATAGACAAAGTATATAATCACAGTAACCTGCACACAAAACAAACAAACAACCCAATATGTTGGGGTGAACCCCAAGAACTCCAGACAAAATATCAATTAAGGTCACAAGGTCTCCAACATAAGCCAAGATTTCTATTCCTAAGTCCAAGAAGTCCAATACTCCATAATACCAAGGATAGTAACCAAGTAGTCCAAGTATCATTAATATTTTTTATGGTTCATGTTGATTATTAAGTGTCTTCAAAAAGAAAAGAAAAACTCAAGTGAGCAAAATAAAAATGGCATAAAAGTAAATGCTCAAGTGAACAAAGATGAAAATAGCATGAAATGTAAATGTTAAAGTAAATGGTGCATAAAGTAAAGGGCATAAAATAAAAACATAAAATAAAGTCAATTGTTAGAATTTTATTGTTAGTTGGATGACCATCTTGAAACTTACATTTGGAACTCATTAGAGGATTGGTAGAACCAAAACCTCTCAACAACAAGTTGCATTTTCTTTTTGTCAAGTATATCATCCATTTAAAAATCCTCAAGACCATATTTAATGATCAATAATGTTTAAGTGATCCGCGTTGACCAAAATTGATGAAGATCTATTGGATGATTGGTAGAACCAAAACCTCCTAACAATGAATCTCAAGGTTATTGGATCAAAGGGTTCAAATTAACATACTTGGGCTTGCAAACATAGGTTTGGACCATGAATGATCATTTTCTCGAATCGGGACAAAATTTAGCGTTATGTTAAGCAATCGTAAGTGAACTTATGTAGAAGTCGCGCCTATTTTGAGGCCGGTCAATAGAAATCTATGTACTTCATGTTTGGATAACTTATATAGATATAATTATCCCTTAACATGTAGCACAAAATAAAAAAGAAAGAGATAAGATGAAGAGGGAGGGAAATGATAAGCTAATTTGAATCACTACCTCAAATTTCTTTCATCTTTAAATTCAATCACTCATCTTAGTGGATTAAAATACTAAACATATCATTAATCCAAAGCACCAAAAAGGAATTAAATAATTCACTCTTTAGTAGATTTGCATTAATGGATATTTGTCCAACTTCATCTACACCCAAAGTTCATTGAATTTAAAGAGAAATTGGCCATTTAAAATTGTAATCCAAATCAACAATCAAAAGGGATGAGTAGAAAAAGAGAGATGGATCAAAACAGCTCCAAAACAAGGCAGAAAATGCATTTGTATTCTGTTACAATCGATTGCACTATCGATGCAATCGATTGCATCAGTGGTTTTTTTCAAAAAACGTGAAATTTTATTGTGACAATTGATTGCGCTGTTACAGCAATCGATTGCGGTGTTACAGCAATTGATTGCGCCCTGTTAAAAATCAGAAAATCAACATTTCAAAAGGCTAAATTATTGTTCAAACTTTCCATCAAACACCTTATGATCATGGATTCAATTGAGCATGAAATTTCATCAAATCATGAGAAAATGGCACCAACGGAATCACAAAACAATGCTCAATGAATCAAGCCCAAAGATCAACAAGAGATCACATTGTGAAAGATGAAAAATCCAACTTACCAAGGGTAAATCTAGAGAATTATCAAAACAACTTCAAGAATTTGCTTAAATTCAGCCCCAAGAATCAATTACCCAAACTTGGGTGTAGAGAATTGATGAAGAAAAAGTGTTTGGATGAAGGTTTAGCTCAAAGATTAGTAAGTTTCAATGAAAAACTTACTAACTTTTTTTGAAAATGGAGCTTTGAGTGAATTTGGTAGATGGAGAGAATTGAGAGATTTCTTAGCAAGGTAGATATGGCTATCAAAAGCTTGAGAAATGAATGAAATGAGGGTTCTATTTATAGAGTTTAGGCTTGGGATTAGTGGTGATTTGGTAATTAATTCTTGGAGCCAAAATTTTTAAATAATGATATATCTTTCAAAAAATGAAAAATTAGAGCCAAAATTTGAATTAATGATATATCTTTCAAAAAAGAAAAATTAGAGCCAAAATTTGAATTAATGATATATCTATCAAAAAATGAAGCAAAATTGAAGCCAAAATTGACAAGCTTGAAATTGCTGATTTTTAAAATTTCACATTGTGCAATCGATTGTACAGTGAAAAAAAAATGAAAAATTTTTAATTATTTTTCTTTGCAAATAATATTGGAAAACCCTATTTGTCATATGCTTTTACTCGATACCTACAAAACACAAATATACAAAGACAAATATATTTTTTGTATTTTGATTAGAAGTTTGTCAACAACGTAAGAGCAAACTTAAAGATAGGATGCAAATGTGATGAATGAAGCTATTTGTTAATGATTGTGACCAAATGACAAAATATGATATGAAAATGCGACTGAAAAAAATAGGCGTGAAATTTAGGGTACAACACACACATTGATCTTGGGAGAAAAACCCTCACAGTTTTTCTGATGAAACTCCCTAAATTCTCAATCCAACCTTAGGTTACAACCAACCTATTGACCTTTAACAACACGAGTCTAGATGACATCCAAATAATGAATGATTATGTGTATTTTATTTGTGTGTATGTATAGATGCAAGGTTGAAGATGCTGGGCAATTTAGTATGTGTTTATAGTTTCATCAGATTGAAAAAGATGCATGTATGAAGTATATAGGTGTGCAAGTTGGAGGCAAAATAGATTTACCTAAAAATTTAAAAGGAAAACTCATTTTTGTGAAATGCTTCAGTATGTGTTGACACATGTAAGTTATGTGTCAACACATGCATGTAAACATTGACACATGTGTCGACCTGTTTGAGGCCTTTGTGTCGACACGAAGTTACAGAAGTTACATGCTTTAAAATGATAGCGCACATGTGTCGACATGAAACACGTATGTGTCGACACATAGAAGATTTCATGCATCATGTGTCGATCTGAAATGAAAGATGTGTCGACACATAGTTACAAAGCCTACAAATTTTATTATTGACCCACATGTGTCGACACGAAACACTTATGTGTTGACACATGCAAATGATTTTTATGCAGAAAATAACTTTTAGTGCATAATACATATTTACACTCTTTTCAAGCATGTTCTAGATGCATTTTAAGATCCCTAATGCAATGGTGCACACAAAGACTCATAGAAACCGTTCAATATATAAAACAAACAAAATTTATCCTAATTTTGACATCATACAAAACATCTAAAAGTCAAATGCATTCACATAAGCTTCTAAGATTAGCTTCGTGGGATTACCGACAATTACGCTACAATGAGTAAGCGTAACTAAAATCTCTTTGTCGGGGTTAGATGTAGTCATATTGTATTCATGTACTGGATATCTTATGATGTTCTATGTAATTCTAGTCATGCTTTAGTATTGATGAGTCTTAATCTTAATGCTTGTTTTAGCTTTGCTACATAAAAATCATTTTTATAGTATAACCTGACATCGAAAGATGTTTGTCATTACTAGATTCAAGATAATCATCTATTGAATATTAGTGTCTAGATAAGGTTAGGTTTAATATCTGCACGTACTGTAGTATGGATTGACTGTAGTACGAATTGAGGTGGAGTCTTACTGTTTTATAACTGTTCGAATTTAATTTTCCTTGTTGGTTAATAGTCTAATATATCGGCTATTAAGTAATCCACTTATCTCAAGAAGTTGAGACGAAAAAGTTAGATGAATGAAAGCAATATATAATAATATTAATAGCTGAGTAGATGAGCATATTACCGATCTATAGATGTGCATAATAAATATGCAATGATGAAATCTATCCCTAGCAAGTTTTATTATTGTTAACACCAAAATCTGCATTTTACTTTACGTCATTCATTATAATGTCATTTACTTTCATGCATCAGAATAAATACACAGCCCTTATCTACTTAAGATCTTAAAAGGGAACGGTTTTCGAAACCACCAATCTCTATGGATACGATAATTTTAAAACATACTTTTGTTGCAAACGTAACTGTAAACACATCTAATTTGAAATCTAAAAGTGACTCTCAATTAGTGGCAAAACAAGTTGTTAGGAAATATCAGACAAAAGAGACCAATCCAATCTCATCAAATATCTAAAAAAGGTTTGTGAGTTATTAGATTTTTAAAGCTTTTAAGATAATATGGGCTCGAGGAGTAGAATTTCACAACTCCTTCTCGAAGAAAACTACATTGTACTCTATTTCATGAGACACTCGTTTTTACGCGAAAATTGAAAATATCAAATTTAATTTAATAATAATAACGGTGGGGCTTTCTGTGTCGAATCGCCTTTTCTCCTTTTTGAGCCACTGTTGCCTCAACTTGTTTGTTTCAGAATCAAATATAATAGTTGTTACTGTTGATTTCAGGCTCCTTCCACTACATCCTCTTCCTGCAGCTTATGAAGACGGTTGGACTTCTCTCCAATGGATTGCTTCACATACAAGTAATGACACATACAATAATAACTTTGAAAGAGAATCATGGTTACTAGATTATGGTGATTTCGACAAAGTTTATGTAGGTGATGTTAATTGTGCTAACATTGCTCATGACTTAGCTATGCGTGCTGAATCTGAAACATTACCAAACAACCTTAAAATATTGGGTGCATTACTATGTTGTCCTTTTTTCTGGGCCTCGACCCCAATTGGGTCAGAGCCTGTGGAGGAGCATGAGAGTAGCTTGGCTATGAAAGTGTGGAACTTTGTGTAGCAAAAGGATGAGAGTAGCTTGGCTATGAAAGTGTGGAACTTTGTGTAGCAAAAGGATGAGAGTAGCTTGGCTATGAAAGTGTGGAACTTTGTGTAGCAAAAGGGTGGGATTGATAACCCAATGGTTAACCCTTGTGCACCTGGTGCACCTAGTTTGGCCACACTCGGGTGTTCTAAGACTAGTAACGGTTACTGACAAAGATGAGTTTGGAGACAGATATTTTGTACTACGAATCGGTAAGAAAGAGTGGGTGGCAAGGTCAACTTGAACTTTTTGAAGCTGGAGATGAGGAACATAGTTTCCAGACCTTCAAGCCTGAAACTGATAGGGCCAAACAATTTATCAAACGTTTGGCATCTTTTCTTGTTTTGAGTGAAAATAGTATCGTCGTTCAGTGAGTGTGGGAGGAAAAAATTACTAGTTGTTTGTGAAATAGGTATTGTTGAACTTAATAAATGATTGATCAAACTCTTCTTGTAGCTGATAAATAAACAAAGTTCAACATGTGATCAGGAAGAAGATAAATTCCTTTTGTAATCATGTTCCGACTTATCAAATTGTTTGTTTTTTCCTAATACTTCCACTGGATCATTTGATTCATGGGCAAATCGCTTCCAGAACCTCGCATTTTAGGGACCCACGTTTTAGGGAGATGAATTGAAAAACCACATTCGACTTGCTTAAACATCTAGACTTATGTATAGAAATGACACAGGAAAATAAGCATAAAATGATTGATTTAACATTAATGGCTATAAAGCTACAACTGCCAAAAAGAACTTTTTGTTATCTCCATTTGTTGATAGAACAATCTACTAATAACTCTTGACAAACTCCAAGAATTAAAAGCAGAACCTGCTTGGGAAAATTTCTGGCATCATTGATTAATTGAATTGAAACACATTAGTTTTAGCTTGACCTTCTTCCATTTGCATTCTGCCCTCTGGTATGAGATAACGAACCTTGGCTAAGATAGCTTGACCTTTTCTTTCTGTGAACATTCCAAGAAAATACACGCTCCTTCAAACTACTTCCACCAACGTCCACTTTTTCATGTTTATGGGAACTTATTTCTTCATGTTTTAGTCTCTTAGAGGCAGGGGTCGCATTGAAAGTATCTTCACTTGATCTCTCATTTTCCACGGTGTTGCTTAACTCTAACAACCTTTCTTCTGCCACAGTGTCATCACTCATTTGTGCATGGCTGTCAGCAGGGAGGAGGTTTCTTCTTTTTCCTTTAGCTGAAAGGCTAGATACATCTTGTCCATTTTCCACAGCCTTCATCCATTGTAGATCACTTAACATATCTGCATATACCACTTCTTTTCTTTTCCGCTTTCCAGTAATACCACTGCTGTCAAAAGCTTTGACCTTATCATCCTTATTTACTGCAGAGTATACCCAATCTGGAAGTTCATGCTCTGTCATGAAACGAGATCTGTAATTCTCCTTTTGTCTTCTATCTTCGTCCATTCTCTCAAACAGCCAAAATTCCTCATCGGATCGAGCTGCAAGGCGGTTAATTTCTCTCTCACTTGGCACATCTGTTCCAAGTGAGCTACTACCTCTACGCATAATCTCCTCCAACATTTCTCTCCTGTCCTGAGCTGCACAAATAAAAATACCATATATTAATTAATCTTTAAATAATTTATTTTTAGCGAGATCTAGGGTATGTTCAAAGTTGAACACAAACATCTTTTCTAAGGCTCAAAATCAGATTAGGGATTCAAATGCAATTAGGTATTCAATATTCATCTCCACAACCGTATTATTCGAACATCGCTCAAAGTACGAGAACAAACCTGTTGATGTTGTGTTGAAAAGGCCTGCCTGGATGACTTTGGCATCAATTCCCATCTTTTGTTTAGCACGGTCTAAAATCACCTCTTCAACTGATCCCACACTAACTAACACAAAAACTCTAACTTCCTTTTTCTGTCCAATGCGATGGGCTCGATCCTCAGCTTGTTGATCCATTTGTGGGTTCCAATCACTGTCAAAGATTATAACAGTATCTGCTGTTTGCAAGTTCAAACCAAGTCCTCCGGCACGAGTGCTCAAGAGAAACATAAAATATGGAGAGTCGGGAGCATTGAATTTCTTTAGAAGGGAGCCTCTTTCCTCAGTTTTTGTTGAGCCATCAAGTCTAAGAAATTTATAATCATGAAGTTGAAGATAAACTTCAAGAATGTCCATGAGACGAGTCATTTGTGAAAAAAGGAGGACTCTATGTCCAGCTCTACGGAGTTTTGGAAGCAAGCGGTCAAGAAGTTCAAATTTCCCTGATGCTCTGACAATCTCCTCCTTACGATTATATATATCATAGTTTCCCACAAAGAGGTAGGGATGGTTACAACACTTCCTGAGTTGCATTGTCAAGTTTTGTAGACTCTTTGATTTTCCACAACCTGCAGATTTTTCTCTATTTAGTAAAGAGTTTGTAACTGAAGCTCTCAAGAAATCAGTTAAGCAAACAAGGATGTGCGGTTTTTTTTTTGGGGGGGTGGGGGGCAGTGAAACTTTTTCTGTGGATGAAAGTAAAGGTAAATAAAAAGTAGTCCAATATTCAAATAAAAAGTAGTCATATTTAACATATGTTTGTGAGTTAAAGGTTAAGAGAAAAGTGTGTATTAAGGGATAACTGGGAGGCATTTTAGGTACAAACCATTGTCTAACCCAACTCTGCCCACGTCAGTCACTTGTTGATAATACACTTTCTGCCAGGCTGACATGTCACATTTCAGTATGACCTGAGATTTCCCAGGAAGAAACTTTTCTACCTCAGCCTTTTTCCTTCTTAGTATGAAGGGCCTTATTACCTATAAAAGTTGGAATGCTTTCAATTAGAAAGACATTGATAAGAGCAAGAGAATTAGAAACAAGTGAGAAACTCACCTGATGCAGACGGCGAATAATCAATAATTGTTCTTCATCTGTTAAGGATACATCAACTCGATCAGCAAAGGGGGCATTAAACCAGTCCTCGAAATTCTGAACTGAATTGAAAATGCTTGGGAGGAGAAAATTGAGCAGGGACCACAATTCCTGCAGGCTGTTCTGAATTGGGGTACCGGTCAACAGAAGTCTTCGTTCAATGTGATAGCTGCATAAAAGAAAATTTTGTATCAGACAATTTGTAAAAACAAAATTGCCAAATTCTAATGCAATTATATTATTGGACGTATTTCCCGAGCAAGAGATATACATCCGGAACAGCCTCTTGGACTGCTTAAAAGAATCCCAGCTATGTTTTCCTCCCCTAGACTGCCGTTGAAGATGGAAAACCCTAAAGAACAAAGGAAGTGTCGCCCCAATCCTCAAGTATCGGCAGGTAATCTCGAAAACCCGTATAAAAGCAATCCCATTGGGGTGCAGTTGGGAGGGCGCCAAGGACAAATGATTGAAGATGCCATTTGAAAGTCACTGAAGGGCAGACGAAGCCCCAGTTCCCTGAAGACAATCTCGTACATGGAGAAGCGATCTTCCAGGAAAGACGAGCATATTCTGGCCGTAGGTGTCGGGCGAAAGATCATGAAATTTCGCCGGAAACCCTCTTGGTCGCCGCCATATTCGACGACGGTGTACGCCTCCCTCCTCGTATGGCTAAAGACCGAGGCTATCCCTTGGGGTTCTGATCTGACCCAGGACAGTGACGGTGTCGATCAAGTGGAACCCGACCCAGGACAGTGACGGTGTCGATCAAGTGGGGACACGGCTCCACTTATTTCTTCTACCTCGGGTGTCTCGATTGGTTCGGCCATTTCACCTGTAAAGCAGAGGAAACCAGTGAATTCGACAGCTAAATCAAATCCACCGCAACACAAGTGAAAGGGGTTGCTACGACCAAGCCAGATCGACGAACCCTCGTTCAGTAAAAGCAAACAAACTCGTAAATGCCACGAGGAAAATATAGATCTCTCAAGCGAACACCACGATGAGAACGTGAATCTTTCGAGCAACCTGATGAATCTCCCGAGAATCCCATGAACATTGTGAGGAGGGGATGAATTTCCCGAGCAATTTCATGAGTTATGAGGGGAGGGAGGGGATGAATTCCCCGAGCAATTTCATGAGTTCTGCGGGGAGCAGATGAATTTCACGAGCCATTTCGTGAGTATCACGAAGAGAGGTAAGAATCCCTTGGGTATTGAAATTCATCAGGAAATCCATGAGATTTGTAAAAAAAAAACAGACGCTGGGGAGAAAGGAGAGCGAGAGTTTGAAAATGTTACAAATGAGCCCTTACGCTATTTATAAGGCTAGCGCGAAAGACGAAGTGTCGCGTCGAACAGCGTATCAACCGTCCATCTCTCCACCGCCGTTTAGGATCATAATGACCCCTACTCCCTAGGCCATCATTTTAACCCAAAAGCTACACCCCGTGGCTTACAAATAAACATCCTGCGAACATTCGTCTCCCCGCGAGTTGAGGAGCAGATAAACTTTCTCTGTGAGCAAACTCCAATCTCCGCTCGAGTAGTCGCAACCAAAAGCTACACCACGTGGCTTACGAAGTAAACATCCTGCGAACTTTCGTCTCCCCGCGAGTCGAGGATCAGATAAACTTTCTCCGTGAGAAAACTCCAATCTCCGCTCGAGTAGTCGCAACCAAAAGCTACACCACGTGGCTTACGAAGTAAACATCCTGCAAACTTTCGTCTCCCCACGAGTCGAAGGCAGATAAACTTTCTCCGTGAGCAAACTCCAATCTCCACTCGAGTAGTCGCAACCAAAAGCTACACCACGTGGCTTACGAAGTAAACATCCTGCGAACTTTCGTCTCCCTGCGAGTCGAGGAGCAGATAAACTTTCTCCGTGAGCAAACTCCAATCTCCGCTCGAGTAGTCGTGTATAAAAATGACTTGTCCCTCGACGTGATAGGAGACCCCGGCGAAACTATGCTTACCATACGGGAAAGTTGGTCTTAAGTCATAACTCTTTTTCTCAGGAGCAACGACTTAGGGGCTCCTGTTCTGGACTGGGCCTGCACTTAGTCC